AATGTATGATTATCAAAGCTCAAAATTTACCAATATACCAAATAAATCATAGTAATTTTCAACTGACATACAACTAAAAAAAAATACAGGATTTCTCTTCCTATGAAAGCATCAATAGTTTAATTTCTTTATTCAGAAAAACAATATTTTCCAAATATGTTCTAGATGAAGGCACTATTATAAAAACAAAAATCTACTACACCTTTATATCGGTTATACAATTGCTAAATCTTTAATGGCTTGGTGAGTTTTTTGGAGGGTGGGAGTATTTCAGCCAATTTTTTTGTTTTCAATTTCATTATTTTATAAAGATTATAAAATAATATATATTATTTTAAAAAAATTAGTAACAGCACAAAACAGCAATAAGGTAAAAAGTAAAAGTTCCCCTTCCGATCAAATCCCAGTTAATCTTTTGAGACTAACGTCTGTCTGTTTCTTAAGTAGCCTTCAGAAATATGCATACACAAAACCTGCTCATGTTTACATCGAGTTTAACGTAAAATCAAGATTCTAAATGGTTACTACATTTATAAACAGAGAACTTGGCAGGCAAATGCCAGGAAAAAGGGCATCTACTGAGGCTGCTAACTTCAGTTACAGCTTTAGAAATTAATAAGGCATCATATCCTTGGTCACTGTCAGTAGAAAATGTTAGCTGATGCTCCAATCTAGCTGGGATAAAGACTATGAAATCTGCATCATCAACTGTCAATTATGTTTGCCAAAATAAAGGAGAATCATTGTACTTAATTCAGATGTGTGTAATTTAATTTTTGTAAAATCAAATCGTTAAGTATGCCTGTGGATGGTGAATGGCAGACACACCTGACAGCAAAACTTAGGCATATCCTGAGAAGGACCCTGTATGCAGACAAAGCTCAATGTAGGGTATGGCCAACCCAGAGAGTCATCCTTATCTATGAGTAACATCTGAGCCCCATCCCATCCTGTGGAATGTGGGCCATACAAGAGATTGAGACCCTTTGTTCTGGGTTAAATGAAGGTTGCCAGATGGAGGTTGCTAGGGGGAAGGTGTTAAGTGAAAACACTATCTAAAATGCATGTTTTTTGCACATGGTAGCACTTCTGCCCAGCCTGCTGCCACTGTGCTGTTCTGTATGTAAGTTCCCTTCAATAAACCCTGTATCTCATTTGCTGGCTCTGGGTCTCTTTTTGGCCTCTTGAACCTGGTGTCATCAATACTGAAGTGAATGGGGGTTTGGCACAACAGATGTTTACAGTTTTGTTACCGTTAAAATTTTTACAAAATATAACATAATTAAAAAAATTAAAGTCTAGCCTTTTAAATATTCCTACTTACTGATTTCCAGTCTTCCAATAATTCTACTGTGTTCTTTCTTAAACACCTGTGTTTTTTGAAACAATTATCCAAAATAAGTTACCAGTAGTTACCATGTTCCAAAATAATATTAACTGGAACACCTCTAAAATGAAGTCTCATCTGTGAAGTTATTGATGTAGAATAATAATGAAATTTAAAAGCTATACAAGAAAACTAAAAATTCTTTATCATAACCAAAATTTGAAACTATCCTTTTATCATACACTCCCCATCATAATTACTGTAAATTTTTCAGAACTGGTATTTAAAAGAAATATATCTTATATTAAAGCTTAGACTAACCAATGGCAAAGTTATGATTACATTATATATTATTTGATGTTCTATTTATGCATATTTATGGGATATGAAAGTTTCTATATTAAAAAAAGTTTCAATAGGAAATGTAATTAACTATCAGGCACTCCCTCTCTTCAATATTCTTATAATTCATAACTTGCCCAACCCAAATCTCACAAATATGCTGAGACACTCTAAAATTTCTACCCACCACATGCCCTTTCAGATGATCTTTGATGCATATCATGATCTATGATATATAGTGACTTTCATTAAGCCATGTAAGTCAATCTTATTTTATAGTCCTTTTCTTCTTGGGGTTTCTTCTTGTCCCATTAAGATCTAAACCTTGGCATTCTCTTCCAATCTTATTACTTCAACTAGCTTTATATTTAAAAAAAAAAAAAAAAAATATATATATATATATATATATAATATTCTGTGTCTTAACTTCTCTCCCAAGGTCAATATGTAATATAGGTCCAATTCTGTATTTCCAACTGGGCATAGGCACCTGAATCCTATCAGCCCCTTAAACACAGGTCTCAAAGTAGATTCATTATATTTCTTCCCAAACCTATTATTCCTCCTGTGCTTCTTTAAAGGCACCTGAAACTGTGAGCCTAATTTTGCCTCCTCTTTAGCCCAAACCTGGTGCTGCAGCTCTGCATTATTTTCAGAGACCTCTGGCTAGCAGTCTCTGGGAATGGGGCAGAGTGAGGCTTTATGGTGTGTTTGTTTTACTTTTTAGCAAGAGAAGTAACTTGCATATGAACTGAAAACGGGCATTACTATTACACAATAACATGTATGTCATGATAATGCCTGGCTAAACATCTTCTCTGGCTGAAGCAGGCAGTTCCAGATTTTTCACAGTTTGTTTCATTTTATGTGACTCATCAGGGTAGAAAAAAATATATGAATCTTAAAGACATACAGATATGAACTCAACTCCAGATGTCATCACTTATTTTACTTTTCTCAAGCTCAGATTCCTTACATTTGAAATAATAAGCTACCTCATAAGGTTAAGACTAAATGAGGTACACAAAGTACTAATTCTATGTATGCTCTAAATATGTGTTGAATGAATTAATGAATAAATGTTCCCCTACCTGCATTACCTTCTCTCCCAGCTAACTTTTTGTTGTTGTTGTTGTTGTTGAGACAAAGTCTCACTCTGTTGTCCATGCTGGAGTGCAGTGGTGCTATTTTGGCTCACTGCCACGACCTCTCACCTCAACCTCCGAGTAGCTGGGACTTCAGGTGCACACCACCACATCCGGCTAATTTTTTGTATCTTTTGTAGAGGCAGGGTTTCACCATATTGCCTAGGCTGACCTTGAACTCCTAGGCTCAAGTGATCCTCCTACCTCAGGTTTCCAAAGTGCTAGGATTGCAGACATGAGCCACCATGCCTGGCCCACCTAACGTCTACTCGCCCTTTAAAACTGGATTGCAACCATCCTTAATTTCCTCAGAATTATGTGTCCCATTTCTGTTTCTGAAGCTCAGCGCATACCTGTTTATCACACACACCGTAATTACTGATGCCCTTGTTGTTCAAGTTAAGTCCCTGATGTCCAAGTTATATTTTGGTAAATTCCTTAAGGATCATGTTTTATTTGACTTTATATATGCAGCAATTAGTGTTGTTCCTGACAAATAGGAATCACTATTCCCTTCACTATTTCAATAAATGTTGATTGAATATTTTACACACAGATAACCATATGCTCTACTAATTTTATTCTAAGAAAGTGCAATGTTCAAATATATTTGAAAAACAGTAGCTATTTCAACAATTAAAATGCTAATTCTGGTTGGGTCATAGGTAATGCCCACGAGAAGAACAAGCATAAATACAGGCTCTCTATATAAAGATAATAGCTTATCCATACTAAGCGTAAGCTGTGCCATTTAATCTGTTAAGCAAATTACAATTATTTGATTTAATACAATGACATAACTCTCTGTGGGTTAAGTTCTATTATTTGCCTCATTTTACAAGATATGGGGAAACTGAGCACCACAGAAATTACATAACCTCAAGATCACACAAGTAGTGAGCAGTGGTGTCAGGGTTTCAACCCAGACTTCCTGACTCTGGAGCCTCTACTCTTAACCACAGGAAACTCAGACTTCTTAGTAGTAACTGAAGCTTCCAAGATGCTTACTGTGGTACTGTGACCCACGATTAGTGAGTGTCAGTGAGAAAAACTATGGATGCACCAACCGCACATTTCCCCATATTCTATCAAATCATGAAGACACCAAACTGTGAAAGTGTCTATCTGCAAATTATGTCCTTGAAGACAAGTATATGTACATCCGGGAGTTTTCTTCCACACACTTTCAACAAACTACACTTTCCCTCTGGACAGAATATCTTTAAAATAAATAAATAAATAAAGCTTTGGCTTTCTTTTAATATTAACACAGTAATTTTTTTGTTGTTATAACCTGAAAACCTAAATACTTAAATACAAAGTCATAATTCCCAGGATGGCCAAGAGCCAAGAATTAAAAAGTTTTTAAAGGCCGCATTTACAGTTTTGAGGTATGGAGATCCAAGCGAGATAGTCCACAAGTCAGTTAGGACTCTCAAATGTGCAGAAATGCTAGGGTATCAATCACATGGGAGAATTGCGGGTACCTTGGTATGGACAAATTAGCTTCAAAGTTCCCTTAGGCGAGCCTCTAAATCAGTTGAGAGCAATCATTGTTAACGCTCTCTGGGGACGTCTTGAGGCCCCCCAATAGGCAATCTTGAACCTGTCCAGAACTTGGGTGTCGGGGGGGTTAAATTTCGTGGAGAATAGGGGAGATGAGCACTGAACACAGGGATAACTTTTTAACTAGCATTAATTGGGTCTATGCGGCCAGCTTGTAAAGATTCCTGCCACACTAATAAGAATCAGCCATAGGCTTTTAATTGGAACGCCGGATCTCTGCCTTGTTTGATATCTTAACATGTTTCTATGATGGACATTTTGGTTCCTTGTATTTTAAAACGCAGCCACAAATTAGGGCGATAGCAATCACGTATATGCAGTCCCCAATCGTCCAAGCCGAGTAGGGTGCACGAAGTATCGCTCAAAAACATTCATTACCGTCGGTGTGTTGAGTGGTGACGGTCGGTGCGATTATTGGAAGTCGCGGGACCCAGAGCGGTTGGAGCACTGTCACACCCCTCCACCTGCATTAAGACAACCTGACACGACCTTCGGTGAATTGATGGGCAAAATGGCGGTTGCACGTCTGTCTCCTGCTGGCGCACAACCCTGAAGGACGTCACGTCGCCAGGGCAACGACGCTCTTGCGTAACGACTCGGCCCAGGGGCAAGTTCGGGGTTGGCGCTGCGTCTCCGCCTTCACAGCTGCAGCTTTTTCTAGGCTCGGTGCTAGACCAGAGCAGGAGTGACTCCCATAGTCCCCGGCCAAGAAAATGTTGGCCTAGGACTGGCGCGAACGGAGCGCGCTGGTTTCCTGCTTCCGCGAGGCCGAGCCTGCTGTACTGCAGGGCCCGTCTCCAGAGCGAGCACAGCCGGGCGCCTGGACCAGCCCCCGAGCGCGCACGCGCGCTGTGTAGCTCCGGGTGGAGGCCGGAGTTGACGTTAGCCATGGAAACCGAGAGCTGGCCCGAGCGGGGCCACGGTGAGCTTGCTCTGCCGCCTTAGCTTCTCTGCCTCCGCGCTCGGGCAATAGCTAATCTCCCCGCGGGAGCGTCCAGCCCGGGTTTACCTGCAAAAATGCAGTTCCCGGGATGCCTTCGCGTCTCCTCTTCCCTCGGGTGATTTGAGGTACGTTCGATGTCCGCCGCCCACCTCGGGACCTCTGCGGTGCCTTAATGTTCAAGCCTATGCAGAGAGCCAAGTTGTTCTTGTAGCTTTTATTGCCACAAAAACCTGTGCAGAGAGCCAAGTTCTTGCAGCTTTCATTGCCACGTTTTTCGTTACAAAACCTTTAAGTGCAGTTATTGCACTTTAAGACGTAATATGAACTCAGTCATTAGAGTAATTCAGTGTGATTTTAACTTTCCTTCGAAAGAGTACTTTAGCCTGTTGAATTGTAACATTTTGTTTCTAAGAGACTCGTACGAACTGGGAAATGGCCCTTTGACCCTTGATTTGAAGGATAGCCATGTTACCCCAATAAAGGTTACCCGTTTTTTCCCTCAGATAAAACTGTACTGCCTCCTTATCTCCAGCTAAACCTCTTTTGTCCGAATTGTTCAACTCGTGGTCCCCTGAACATGAAGAGCTCCTTCCCCACTGATCTCGGTCTCTGTCCCCACAACCTCTTGTCTGTCCGGGACCAGAATTTACTCCTGTGAATCAGAAGTTGTTTTTCATGTAGCCATCATTTTTCACTTATTCATTTTTTTTTTTTTTACTATTTTTAGGTGTTTCTTTTCTTCATTAAGTCATTTCTGCAGTTAGGGCAAAGACTATCCATGTTGTTTGGTATCCACCGCCACTCACGCCAAATCCCCTAACCTTTAGCATAGCATCCAGTTCAAATGTTACCATTTTACGATTTTAACTGTTTGAAACACCTGTTGGCTGCTCCTAAATTTCCTACTTAAAGAGCTGCCTTCTAGTTATTATCTGTTGTGGAAAGTACCAGTCAGGGAACCTTTTCTTTTTGATTTTTAAGTGCTTTACTGAGATATAATTCACATTCAGGGAACCTTTTCTTTTTCATTTTTAAGAGCTTTACTGAGATATAATTCACATTCATAACGCACAATTCGCCCATTTACAGAATTGTGCAACCTTGACTACAGTCAATTTTAGAACATTTTCATCACCCCAAAAAGAACCCTTTACCTTTCAGCAGTCACCACCTCCCTGCCCCCATTATCCTTACCCCACCAGCCGTTAAGCAACCACTCATCTATTTTCTGTCCCCATAAATTTGCTTATTTTGGACATTTAACATAGATAGGATAATACAATATGCGGCCTTTTGTAATGGGCTTTCACTTAGTGTGTTTTCAAGGTTCAGCGATGTTGTAGCATGTATGAGTACTTCATTCCTTTTTATAGCCTAATTCCATTGTGTGGCTATATCACATTTTATCCAGTCATTGATGGACCCTTGGGTTTTCCATTTTTTGGCTATTAGTAGTATTTCTGCCATCAATGTTTTGTCTACAGATTTTTGTGTAGACATATCTGTTTTTATTTCTTTTGGGTGCATACCTGAGAGTAGAATTGCTGGGTTATATGGTAACTCTATGCTTAGCCTTTTGAGGAACTGCCAGATTGTTTTCCAAAGGAGCTGTATCATTTTACATAACCACCAGATATGTGTGAGGGTTCTGATTTCTCCACAGTCTCATCAATACTTATTGTCTGCCATTTTTATTTTAGCCAGTCAGGGGGATTTGAAATGGTACCTCATTATAGTTTAAATTTGTTTTTCTAATGAGTAATGATGTTGAGAATCATTTTCTGTGCTTATTAGCCACTTGTATGTTATCTTTGGAGAAATGTCTATTAAGATCCTTTGCTCATTTTTGAAAGATTGGATTATTTGACCTTTCATTTTGTAAGAGTTCTTTATGTAGTCTAGATACAAATCTCATATATATGATTTGCCCAAATTTTTTTTCATCCTATAGGTTGTTTTCACTTTCTTAATGGTGAGGACCTTGTTTTTTAAACACTTTCTCACTTGTCTTATCAAAGAGTACCTTCATGCTGGCTTAGCTATCAAAAGCTTCCCATTTTGACATTTTGTAGATTGCTCTTGGACCCACTTTTCTCCACAGAACCCTTTTCCCCCAAGTTATCCTTCCAGTTCTCTAGTTTCAAAATAATATTCCCTTTCATTTGGCAATTGTTAGCCCAAACTGCACCATTTTGTAAGCCCCCTGCCATTTTGCAGACCTTGGTCAAAGTGACACATTCCACAAGAGTTTGGGCTGTGAGAAACATCCTGCCTAACCATCTGATCACAGTGCACAAGAACACCTTTATTATACCCTGCTGAGCAAAGGCCCAACTGAAGGAACATCCCTATCATACCCTGCTGGGTAAAGATGCAAGGAACATCCTATCACATCCAACTGGAAAAAGGGCCAAACCACCTGATCATAGGAACATCTTATCAGTATCCTGCTGGGCAGCAAGCCAGACAGCCCATACCTGTAAGTCTCCAGCCTGTGAACAGCAGTGGGCCCTGGCATTAAGCTGGTCCCCTACGTCTGCAGGTTTTTGCAATATACCTGTGTTGCTGTACAGCCACCCAACCCCATCTGTCTTTAATCCCTCCACCACCTCCCCCGCCTTGCCTTTTAAAAAAACCTAACAGCAATAGCATGATCTCGTCCAAAAACTCATTCTGCCACTAACTGACATTGTATCTTGGTTAAGTTGTTTAATATCACTGGTTCTCAGGTTTTTTGTAAAATAAATTAATTTATTTCTAGTAATTCATTTGAGTGGCAGATTCCATTCACCTGATACTTGATTTAAAAAAAACTTTTTCAACCCAGTTGAATTTGTAGTGGGTGTCAATTGAGAAAAACAACAAGACAAGTCTCAGTCATTTTAGGAGATTTATTTGCCAAAGTTAAGGACTCGAGAGATAGGTTTACACCTTTCTCTGAAGATGATTTTGAGGTCTCTAAATTTAAAGGGAAAAGGGTAGGATATTGAGCAAGTACATAATTTTCATGTAAGAGGTGGGGAGGGAAAAATATTCATGCCTTAATCTGGCTCAGTGAATCTGCATCTTTTACATAAGGTGACATAAAAGGGGCAGAGGAAAAAATGGGGGAAGTCTGCATGTTACGTAAGATAACAGACAAAATGGGGCAGGGGAAGAATTAGATATGCATTTATGTCTGGTAGGCAGGGATGACTGCACCTGTAAAGATAAGCTATCAATTGGCATTGCCATGGTGAAATTCACTAGGAATTTCCTTGTGGGCAAAATATGGGGGAGGTATGTAGCTTTTCATCTTCTAGCCATCTTATTTAGGAACCAAAAGTGGGAGGCAGGTTTGTATGACTCAGTTCCCAGTTTGACTTTTTCCCTTTGGCTAAATGAGTTTGGGATCCCAACATTTAATTTCCTTTCACATTTCCCTTCTTTTTTCTTTAAAATCTTTTAGAGAAAGCATTTTAGAAGGAATACAGTTTCTTGACCTCAGGTTGGGTTTTACTCTCTTTTTTTGGGCTGCTTTCTTGTTGCTAGCATGGTTTATTCCTAGAAGTTCAGGTCCCAAGTCACCTGGAAGGCACATTTCTAGTAAGTCATGTTCCATGAAGATTTTAAACAATAGGAGGAAAGAAGTAAAAAAGGCAAGGTAAAAAGAGAGAAAAAAATATAGGGACCTAGGCCAGATTTATAGCAACAAAAGAAAATCAAATCTGGAAACTGGATCAGGCTATATCACTGGCTTCTCAATTAGAACAATTCTCTAGGCAGTCATTACCCTAGCCCTTTCAGTTGTGCATTGACGTATTTGCAGGCACATACCATAACAACATTGTAAGCAGAAACAGGATACAACACAAATTATTATTATTATTCCTATTATAAGCAATAAGCTGCCACCAGGTTCCCCAGGATCCAAACTAGTCAACCAATTAACTAACAGAGGTTTTGGATCTGACAAGTTGGTTATCTAGGTTTTCATATCAGTCATAAGTCAGGGTATATTCTTCAATTCACCTGGAATATAAACACAACATCCAGTTTTTATGATGGTCCAGGTCCTACTTTGTGCTCCTGCGAGTATATCTAAAGCCATAAAGTTTTGCAGCACAGCTTTCCTCATAAGCAGGACTTCATTGTTTAGCAAGGACATACTCATGGGGCTATCATTCAGGGCCTTTTGGGTGTAATTCATCAAAGCCTCTATATGCCGTATAACATCTTTAATACCTATCTGTGGTACAAAGATTGAAGCTAAGTGGTCATATCATTGGAATACCAAACGTGTCCAACAAGATTGTAAATGAAAAAGGTTTGCTGGTTTTGGCAGGGTCTGAATTACTTGTCCTTTGCCCAAGCATAACCTCGGGAACATTGTCTTAACCATTGTGGAAGTAACCACAGCCATAAGTTAGTGCCACATAGCCAATATGTTGCATTTGGAGCTAGGCAATAAATACCTGGCCATTGCACCGAATTGGTGGCATGCCATTCAGTGTCTTATAATATAATAGTGTGGTCACAGTGTTCTCCATCTCTTCACCCCATATCTCTCACACTGTTTGGACATAGGTTCTTGGTGTGATTTTTTTGCTCCCAACACAAAGCATTTTGGCGGAGTTGGCCAAATGAAGGGGTAAGCCAGATAAATCCATCCCAAATTTGCATTATTCCATTTTGATAATGGGCGATTGTTTGGGGCATGGTTACCACCTTCTGTTTTAGTTGGGGGGGATGCTAAAGTGAGAGCTAATGAGCTGGTCCTTTCCATTGAAAAGTTTTTGCCATGCCCCTTGTTCTTAAGAGAGTTTTTAATGGGCCAATTATATATGTTGTCTTTTGTTATGCCAGCACTAAGAATACCAGACCATTGCTGTGATGTAATAGATTTTTTTCTATCCAGTCCTGACCTTGGAAGGGGGATACCCACCATGGCAGGATGGAGCCACTGGAAAGAGGCATGAATCTACCTATCCAGCAGGTGTCCTTTTGTAATCTATCTGCATAATCCTGAGCCCTTTGTAGAAACTGGTTTGTTTCATGGGCATCAGAGGGTGGCAGTGACAAGAAGGTGTAGGGATATAGGGTAATAATAATAGCAAGGCTGTGAGATTCATTTTAGTTACTAATC